TTTACTGTCTACAGTGGAGTCTGTAGGGTGAGGGGTGCTTACATTATCCATGGGGTACATAGCTCACTCTGCTAATAACTGTTACCAGTATTTATGGCATACTTATTTCACCTCCCAGATTTCTCACAACAACCTGGTTATGTAGGCTCTTTTAATATCCCCATTTTACAGATGAGGAAGCTAAGGCTCACAGAGGTTCACTGGCTCTCTGTCACAGACAGGAAGTAGCAGAGTTGGGGTTGCAACCCAGGTCTCTGACTTGATGGTGGGAGGGCAGGGGTCACTAAGGCTATTGTCTTTGAAACTTTGCATTATCTTTATCCAAGGGTGGAGGGCAGTGAAGGTGGTAGTAAGGCTTCAGAGTGATGGTTTCCAATCGAATAGATCTGGATTTGAATTCCGGCTCCAACACTTCATGACTGAAGGACTTTGGCAGACTTCCCCATCTGGGCCTCACTTTCTTAAGAGTTCATGCTTTTAACCACTATACCAACTATTTCACTACCTCACTTTCTTAATCTGTAAATGGGTATAACAATAGTAATTCTCCTTTTTGGGCTTTTGTAAGGATTAAATGAATGAGATGATGCCCTGGACAGTGCTTGGCCTAGCGCCTGGCACATTATGAGCGCTAGGAATTTGGGAGCAGTTATAACAATGATGATGATGATGATTGCAGGACCACACTGCTCCCAGAAGGTTACAATATCCGTGGGGGAGCTGCAGTGTCAGTAGTCAAGGTTACATAATTAATTCACCAGGGGGTTGATGCTTCCCGGGACTCCTTGATCTCCCCAGGGAAGAGGCCTGAGGCTTCTACTGAGGCACTGGTGAGGGACTTCCTGCTGTAAGGCAGCTAGGAACTCAGCAAGGAGGCTGGACTTGAAGCCCTAAGAACCCAGAGCTGACCCTGCAGGCCTCCCCTCCCAGTAGCCTCTCTCTCCCTGCCCCTCTTCTGGGTTTCAGCCTCTTTGAACACCCCTCCCCCATAACCCCATCCTCTGGTACCTCAGAGTCTTTTTTGAGACTCTGCTTCCAGGCTCGGCCTGTGAGTATTGCTCTATTTGCCCTTTCCCCGTTGGTGGCTCCGCTAGCCATCTGATCAGCGCTGATTTCCTGTCTCCCGAAGCCGCAGGCTCCTTCCATCCCTCCCAGCTTCGGAGCACTGACTTCACACTGCCCTACACGCTGGCCTTCATCCTTAAGCCCTGCCTTCCTCTCTCTTAGCGACCCCCCAGTGCCCCTTGGGAGCACATTTGTTCGGACTTCGGTCGCCCCCTCATATCCTGGCCCCACCACCGGAACCCTCTGCCCTGGTGGTGGAGGTGGGGGTACCTCCGGTGTTGGCCGGTCCCCTGGACAGCTGCAGCTTGGGGATGGTGTGGGGAGCTCCCCAATGCATTCTCTTTGGTCACTTCCTCCCCAGCTGGGATTGGGGCTATCTAGAAGGCCAAGACCCCCATGCCCGGAGGAGCGAAGGGCACAGCCGCCTCCTCATTTCCGATGCTGGGAAATGCTTTCCACCCATTCCACCCCACCCCTGGACAGCTGCCCCCATTCAGACTCAGGGTTGGGAGGGCAGGGGGTAAAGCTAGGCTGGGAAATGTGATCTTGATCATCTTCCGAGGTCTGACCCCCCCACCCCTCAGCAGAGAAGATTCTGTCTCCTCCCAAAGGTCCACGCCTCCTCCCGACAAAAGTTGCTGACCCTCCCCTAGAAGGTACCCCGCCTCCCCTCTTACAGGCTTCCCAAAAGACAATCTGGATCCCGCAGTGGGCAGGAGAGGAGGGGAGGCAGGTCCCGAGTGCCGAGGACTTAAGTTATCTGCAGACTCGGAGTCTCCGAGAAAGGTCATGACCCCTGAGACCCCGTTCCACCACCAACCCCCACCTTCCTTCCTCCCCCGTTGCGCGGCCCCTTTAAGCTCAGAGCCGGCGAGTCCTCAGTGGCTGTACGCCGGCAAGAGTGTGTGTGAGTGCGCCGGGAGGGGGCGGGCGCAGTGTCTCCATGGCGACGCGGCGGTGACGTCGCCGGCCCGGGGGCGTGGGCGTCCCGGCCCCGGAGTGCGATATTAACCCGGGAGGCGGCGGCGGGGAGGGGAGAGGCTCTGAGAGGCGAGGCCGGGTGAAACGGCGAGGGCGGCCCGACCGGCGCGGGACGGGACGGGGCAGCGCGGGCCCCGGGAGCTGCGGCCCGGAGTCGGGGTGCCTTGCCCCGGGGCCCCCCAGCATGAAGACCCCGGCAGACACAGGTGGGGGCGGGGGCAGCACGTGTGGGGGAGACTTGTTGCCCCGGGAAACCAGGCGGAGAAACTTTGGTGGGGGGCTGAGGGGTTGTGGAGGAGCCCGAGTGATCCTCAGTTCCGGGGGACCCCCAAGCACGCGAGACCTGTTGCATCTCACGGCGCGAGCGGGGGGGTGCTGCATGGGACCCCCAATTTCTGGTTCCGGGCGGAGTGGTTTGGGTGCTGCGAGTCTTGGTCCTCTCCCTGCCTGGACACCGAAAGCTCGGTTCTCCCCCACTCCCGGGATAAAGGGGGTGGCGGGGTCCCACCCCGCCGTTATGTCACGTTGCACTCCGGGGGCCGGGACGTGTGCGGGGCGTGGGGGGGCTGTCCACGGGGCCCGCTGTCCCCGGTTCCGTGCCGCGCGGTCCGGCCGGTGACCTTCACTGCGGTGCGCGCCCTGCATCGGCTCGGAGGGGGACCGGAGGCGGCTTTGGGGAGGAGGGCGTGAGTGAGCACCGGGGCTCGGGGTCCGGGCGGCGCTGCCCTTCCCCCGCCCGTCTCCGCCGGCTCCTCACTCCCCCGCCCGCGCGGAGTCGCAAAGTTCCCAAAGCGCAGCCCGAACGTTCGAAAAAGGAACTTTTTGTTTCCGACCTTAGAACGCGCGGCTTTAAGGTGGCCCAGGGGAGACCCGGGTGCCTCCTTCCCGCCCGGCCGGGGCCGGGGGTTGAGCAGGGCCGGGGAGGTGGGGTGGCCGCGGCGGCTCCCCCCTCGTCCCCCCTTCCGCACCCAGCTCTTCTCTTTCAACCGGCCGTCTTTCCCCTCCGCCCCCCTCTTCTCCGCCAACTTGCTCCTCCTTAAGGGGCCGAGGTTCCCCTCCCCCGCTCGGCCGGCGGGCGGGGGGCCGCGGGGATTAGCCCCCCTCCCGCTCGGACTTTCCCCCCTCCCCAGCCCTCCCTCGCCGCCCCCGGGCTCCGGGGGCTGGACTTTGCGCCGGGGCGCGCTGGGGGGGGCTAGGTGCACAGGGTCCGCCCCTCTGGTAGGGGCTCACCCCATCCTGCTGCTTTGCCCAGCCTGACACACCAGGCATAGGAGTGCTGAGCGGAGTATCACATCAGGTTAGCTTAGGGACAGTCGTGGGAGCACTGGGCCTGCCGTCCACTGAGTGGGCAGTGGTGCCGGAAGACATGGGTCTGCCTGAGTCACAGGTGAGCTTGAATCTAGTGCTCAACATACACACTTTTCACACAACATGGTTCCCAAATGTAAGACAGCCGCCTCAATGCATGCTCACCCAAAGTCACAGCACCTGTCCCCACCCTGGTGGGGACACCAGCTGGTGGGACTTAATGAGAGAGAGTTTGTCAGTCTCCAGCATGGTACCTTCTTTTAATTTTTTAAAACATATTTTTATTGATTTTAGAAAGGAAGAGAGAGATAGAAACATCAATGATGAGAAAGACTCATTGATAAGCTTCCTCCTGCACACCCGCTACTGGGAGTCGAGCCTGAAACCTGGGCATATGCCCTGACCAGGAATTGAACTGTGACTTCCTGGTTCATAGGTTGATGTTCAACCACTGAGCCAAGTCAGCCTGGCCAG